CATATGATTGCGCGTTAGGAAGCAGAAAAAAAAACTGTCCCAAACGAAGCCTTAAACTTTCAGAAGGTAAGTAATGTTTGCTGCTAGTTCTGTGAAGTTCATCCTCGAGGTCGCTTACAGCCAGCGTGTTCACTCATTCGGCTATTCAGGCTTCCACGGTTTTTTTGCTGCTTCTTAAAGCAACTTTTAAATACAAAAATTTCAACTTTTGTTCTAAAAAGCTGCTTTAAGAAGCAGTACAAAAGCCTCTCAAATGAAGCCTTAGTCCTGCTATTATTGTCCATCTATGTTCAATCTTGCTCTTTGGTCATGATCCTGCTTTGTAATAAAGGCTTGTAAAAATTCTCCTTGCCATTTAAGATATATAGATGGTGAATGAAACGTGATTAATAAATAAGAGTTTGTATTTCCATGCGCCATCTCTGCTGATGGGGTTCTGATTAGCATTGCACCATTAATATGCCACATCATCAAATACACTCCAAAGTCCAGTGCATTCAATGACGTGGCGCATAGTGATTGAAATTCGAATGCATTCGAATTCCGCAAACAGTAATTTCTACCCTTTTGATGGCTTCTCCATCGAAGCCCCATCGCTGCCTCCCTTCCTTGCCGTCCAACAATTTTCGTTTGCAGTCGGACGGCAGAACATATGAAGCGATAAGGATAAAGTGGACAAATGTTGTGCTGTCCACAAACAAAAAAATGGCCTACAGGTGTTGAATAGTCATACGGTGAGTGTAGCGTTATAAAGGGCGATGGTAACTATCAAAGACAATTAAGTATTCTGAAATGTACAGGTGGTCGTTAAATATATTTGAAAATATATTTATTATATTGAAATGTGTGAATCTATATTAATTATGATGATTAGAGGAAGTTCTGATCTGCTATCTATTAGGAGTTATAAGGGTGGGAAATATCTGAATATTAATGGCGCTATGCATTTCGGAGACACGATGGCATGTTATCTGATATGCTAGCACAGGGAGTCGCAAAGACTTTAATTTTGAATTATGATATATAATGGGAGGTATAACGGTCTAAGAAAAAGTTCTATCTGTTCTGAGATGTGAATAGGAAGTGCTAACTATTATTATTTTATTTTTTTGATTGGTACTTTAGAAATATCACTTACTGATATGTATGTATTTATTTATTCTGGGCGGGATTTTTGCATGGATGAATTTATTTTATCTTAATATTCTACTTTATTATTAATGACAATAATTATTAAAGACTCGAGTAGGTTAAATGTGACCTACTGAGTTATGGTTTCTCACGCTTGCTTTCTATATTTGTTTCAAGTCAAGATAAGGGGAAGGGGAAGGCTGAGTAGGGGACAGGTTGCAGGTTCTGAGATTTGAGTCTATATATGTATGCTAGTGCCATGCCACTAGACCGAAGGTCCCGCCCTTATATATCAACTACTCCGCTGACCACTTTTCTTTTCCTAAAATATTACAGAAATATTATAGAGTAAGCACAAACAGCTAAATAGACTCCTACATTCCCACCCCATATATCAATATATATTTTATTATAATTAATAAATTATTTAGATTAAAAGTTAAACATCAGGCGTAACTAAATACTAATAGAAAGTAATTCATATGTTATTCAACATATTGGTGTTGCAAAATATGAATTCAAAAATTACTACTTAACTTTACACATAACATTTGCCTTTGTGCTTTTCACAGGAATGCTTTCATAGGGTTATTAGAATGTACTCATTTTCAGAGCTATCACTTATACTTTTCACAGATAAACTTCATAGAGATATCAAAAATAACAAAATGTTCACATTATCAAAATATCACTCACTTAAACTTGATTTATCATAATATACACAGAAGTTTTAGAATTATTATAATACGTTCAAAATATAATTTGTACTTAACTCATTAAATTATCTGAATATGCGACGCATTAATATACTATGCATATGCCCCAATATATGTTTATAACTTCACTTCCACTTATAATTCTCTTTAAACTTCTCACACATACATATAGCAACTGGGGCTAGAATAGAATAGAAAACATCTCACACCCGCATACAACAAATGAGGACAAAATTCCATCAACATCAACATAAAGCACATGAACCAAAAAATAAACATGTAGGGCACTTCAAATATCACAAATAATGCACTGTTTACATTTTTTCCTTTACTAGAATCTCCTCTAAATGACATGCTATGACCATGCAACTTGAACTTTTTAATAGATAATTATAATGTTAACATGATGCTGATGATGCATTAAATGTCAGAAATACAAATTCAGATGTTAATATTGGGGCAAAATGCCTATCATTTAATATTACTTTTTGCAATATTTCATAAAGACATTTAGAACATCATTTTAATGCTTTTATCGAATTGTCAGAAATGTCATATTTAGCTAATATGCACATAAATTTGTACAAAGAAAATTAACATGAAAAATTATAATTTTTTATAGTCAAAATGATCAAAATGATGCATTATATAATATTTTTGTATATATCTTTTTATATACTTATTGGAATTAAAATAAAAAATAGTCATTTAGAAGTCTGTCTCATGCTTGATAAAACTCTTAATTGTCCAAATAAACAAAACCCTTAAGTACTATGATTTTTTTCCCCAAAAAAAAAAAGTACTATGATTTAGATTGACATAGACATGGTAACATACATATGATGACTAATCATTATACCTTTCATTGAATATGTGAGTTAGTGGTATGAATTTGATGTATAATGGAAGATATAAAATTGAGATAAGATTTGGCATAGGGGTTGTGCATTATATCACTTAATTATTTTTAGGGAAATTTACATACATACCACTTAATACTATTTTATTTACATATTTAACACCTAAAATTTTAATATTACATAAATACCACCCATAGTTCATTTTCATATCAAATATGAGTGGTAGGAAAGAAATATAAGTGGTATATTTGATATTAAAATAATATATGGTGGTATGCATGTAATATTAAAGTTTTAGGTGTTAGATATGTAAATAATATGTTATAAAGTGGTATGTATGTAAATTTCCCTTTTTAGGAAAATTTACATACATACCACTTAATACTATTCTACTTATTTTTATTTATATGACATGATATGATATTATAATTGAATTGTTATGATTGATATATGGGAAACACTATATGTTATGATATAATTAGCTATATTGAAGCTTTTGCACCATTCTCAAAGCACAGTTAAATTAAATTTACATAAAATTTTAAAAAAATAATTTTCAGAATTTAGTTTTATAATCAATCAGATAATATTTATTTTAAATAATTACGTTTAGTTTATATACTGTAACTAAACGGCGCTCAGAATGCGAAGATTCGAAGCTGCTAAATTTTAAATCCCAAAAGAAAAGAAATATATATGTTTTTATATTTTTTTGAATGATTCATTCGACAGATAGGATATAGATCGAACCAATCATTTTGGTCGGTTTAAAAAAAAAAAAGTTTGTGGTTCTCGCATAGGTCTCTTCTTCCTTCTCAATTTCATCCCGCATTCGTCGTCAATAAACCAATTTGATCTTGCAATCTTTACTGTGAGGGGATGCAGAGCTCAAGCTTTCTGACGGTGGGGGAGCGCCTCTGTTTCACTTTCCTTCCGCTGATAGCCATCTTTGAATCTCTGATCTTCGTCGTCACCAACTGCTTCGAAAGCCACCCGAAGATTCTCCTTCGAAGCACTCCGCAAGCCCGCCATGATTTTGCCAAGCTCGCAGAGGAATCTCGATGCTGTACGTAACTTGTCTTCTCTTTGATGCTTTTTTTTTTCTTTTTTTTTTAATCTACTGTTTTCTCTTTTTGGTATGTAGTCACAGTGAACGAGGTAGAGGCGCTACACGAGCTGTACAAGAAGCTGAGCTGCTCCATCATCAACGACGGCCTTATTCATAAGGTTAATTTTCCTGCAACTTCATCTCCGGACATATAATATTAATATTTTGAATGTTAAATAAAGTGATATGTATGTAAATCTCCCTATTTTTTTACTTTTTAATTCTGCAGCTGCTTCAGCAGTGAATATAATAGATTAGCAGACTGGAAGACTAAATTGATCTGATGATCAGTGAAAATTTACCCCTTTCCACATCCCTCATTTCAAATCTGGAAGAGGGCAGTGATCTAGACGATGACTATGAGCTGCAGATCTATCGGTTCTTACCGAAAACTTAATTGCACAGAACTGGCTATTTGTTCATTTGTTTAATTATGCATGCATTTCATTTGCGTAATTTGATGATAGACTTTTGTGTTGACATCTAACTTCAACCCGGTCGCACATCACCAAATTAGGCTCCCAAATTACGGTTCCCTCGTATAACCCTCCACACCATGATATCTCTATGAACCAACTGACTTCCGCCTCCGTGCCCTATAATCAATATGCCCCTCCCGCGATTCCGTCTGCCGGCAGTCGAAGCCAGCGTCTACCGATCCATCTACCCGGCGGCAGCCCTAGCCCGCTACTTCCATCCCGCTCCTATTCGCATGCGACCCGAGCCCACAGCACACCGTCCCGGGCCCCAGCCGCCGATCACCTTCGTCCGCACCAGCAGCGGAGGCCGCCCTCGCCGATCCAGAACCCGTCTGCATTCTGCCTCCACACGACCAGATCAGCTCGATCCTGGCCGCAGCCCTGTGTCGACCGAACTCTCGAGTCCATACGCGCAATCCAGCCGCCTGCTCTCCCAATCCGGCTCAGCCAGCCATAAATCCGGCTCAGCCAGGAGAAATTATTGCATCCGGTCAAAAACCGAACGGTCCAAATATATACCGAGCAATACCGAGTCCAAAATACCTAATTTTAGGTGACGTGGCGCGTGGTTATTGATCTCTGAACGCATTCGGACACCGGATTTAATAATTGCTCCTTAGCCAGCCATAGCCCTCGGCCCCGAGCCCTCGGCCCCATCCGATCCGGCCGATTCTAGCCGCCTCTCTCTCTCTCTCTCTCTCTCTCTCTCTCTCTCATATATAATTAAAAAAGAGAGGGATAATAAAAAAAAAAGAATTTTTAAACAGGTATTCATGACCTCGAGCTGTCAATCTTAGATCCGGACGGAAAGAGTCCTATCGAAGACCTGCACTGTTGTATCTTAGATACAGGCATGATTGGCCAATTTAAATCCCATGCGTGATTGATCTTTGATATGAGCGGGAAGATTTTTTAAATTGAAGGCCTCTTGCAGTTGTATCTTAAATCCTGGCAGGATGATTGCTAATGCGAAGATTTCGCGCCGTTGTATCTTAGATCAAGTCATGAAGAACCAACGAAAAATACTTTGTAATCACCATTTGTGGGGAGGGGACGTCGGGAAATTGCCAAAATTTCAAATGACAAAAAGACTCCCTTTTTACACAAATCTTCAAATTCAAATTTTTTTTTTTCAAATCACTCAAGTATCTCACAAAATAATGAAATGATCACTAGTTAATGATTTATCTAGGATATTCAGTTATCATAGAGAACATTTTGGACTCTAAGGCTACTGTTATAGATACATCAGGTGATAATAGGGTTATTGGAACAAATGATGGTTTCTTACTTTCTTATATAAATGGGAGTTGCCATCTCGTAGAAAATAGAGAAATCTGAGCTTTATCAGATGCGATAATTTCAAGCCAATCAAGGGCATCAGCAATTCCTAGGCTTGAATTTATATGGTAAGGTAGTTTTAATGTTCTTAGACATGATGGCTTCCTACAGTAGTTCGATGAAATTCAAACTCACTTATCAACTTGTGTATCCCGAACAAGTTCATGGCCATTACAATATTAGAAATTGGTGATGAAAATCATATAACTCATGAAGAAGGAAAAGGAAAGAGTGAAGCTACCGGATTTCGAACTGAACATATTTACGGCGAATCAAACTTAAAATTAAAAGTATAAATAAAATCTCAAATATCTAAAAGATGAACAGGAGACAAGTAAGGAGCAGTAACAAGATCTTCTAGCTTCGAATGGGTGTATGGCTTTTACAAACTATGTCAAATGACATATATGAATAAGTTAAATGAAGCTACCTAATAACAAGCGACCTATCATCAACACTATAATTCACCTTTGAATAGGAGCAGGGAATTCGTAGTGCCCACAATGATTATTCTACATGCATGAATAAGAAGATCATATCAAATAAACCAGCCTGTCTAGGAATAGTAGGGAATTTCTAGGGCATGTTACAATTCACTTGTGAGTAGGAGCAGTGGATTCATAGTGCACACAACTAGCATGTAGGTTGCACTAAGAAATTCGTAACAAATGATGTAACTCACTAACAAATAAGAACACTATCTTCTAGTGCCCTATTGAACAAACATTCCCTACAAGCTATGTTGAATGATATAATAACTTGAAATATATATCTTCTATGTGTTACAATGGAAACCTAATTTATTTTCACACCATCGGATCTACAACATTTGTATAAGCGGACAGAAAGAGTAATCCTATAATAGATCCAATCTATATACTAAAATATATCCCATATGATAATGGAAATAATATTTGAATAAAGTGTTTTGGATTGATGAATGTAAATTGTATATCTTTTCTAATGAAATTCTTAATTGTGATGTGATTCAGAGCATATGCATCCTTAAATCTTTGTTGATCTTATACGGGTGAAAAAAAAATATATGCTAACCTCCTATAGTTATATCATCTCCTTAAGAACTTAACATGTTTTACATCCTATATCTAGGTATGCAAACAAACTATACCAATATTCCTGGTTCTTGCATTCCTCTGTCGAGATTATACATCACATTACATTTTAACTATACATATGATCACTATGTGCATTAAATAAAGAGCGGGATAATATTCAAAATATCTTTCAACTTTAGAGCATAAGAATTTTGATTAATACTTAATGTGTTATCTACATCATCAATCCAAAATTAAGAAATTAGCCAGACAAGGAAAAAAAGATAAGCAAACACATTTCAATTGAAATCATAGAAGAAAGAAAATACAAGAGAATGATATCACTATGAAGATTCAATGAATCTCCTCTACACTCTTTTTTTCTTAATGTATAGAGTTACTCCAACAAACATGAACTAACACTATAACGATTTTATCAAAAACTTTTTAAAATTCCCTTGTCACCTTAAGAGAGATTTAGTGAAGTATTCTGAAATACACTGAAATTAAACAAGTGATTAAACTCCCCATAAACATAACACGTCGACTATTTATAGGAAAACACAAAGTAGACAACTAGTGTTGTGGCGTTGCTGCGCCCAAAAAATTAACTATTGTTGTTGCGCTTACTAACGTAAATCAGTTACTTAGTGAACAATAGTGTTGTTTAACCGACAAGTCTTTTCCTTGGGCAGTTACAACAGCCATGCTACGACGTTGTTGACTTTCGAATGTTGCGGTGCCATACTAGCAATTTGGGTGCCGAGGGGTGAGAGATTTTAACGTTGCAGCGTTTGAAGATAGTAAGCTGGGCCCTGTGTGGCTGACTTTTTTGTCGCCGCGGCGCTGTCCAATAGAGATGTTGGCGTCGCCATGTCGATATTGTGGTGCTTCAGTGGTGCCTTTGATGGTGCTACAGTGTTGTTTGGTCTGATGCTGCAGCACTGGATGATACTTAGAATTTTATGTCTTAGTCTATATATATATATATATATATATATATATATATATACAATACAACTAAACTGCTCATTTTCACTGGAAATATAACACATAAAATAACACATTATTTACACTTATCAATGAATTATATGATATATTTGATAGGCACAAAGTCTTTTTTGTTAGTTAAGATGGATTCAAATGTATCTCCTTAGACAAAGACTTCCCCAGATCTACATGGTATTCTTGGACGAAGCAACCCATGGCTGCCAATAAAGTGCCTTATGTCAGGTTGGGTCGACTACCTCCTCTAACTATGTAGACCAAGAACCATGACAACTCAGGATGACGGAACCATGGGATCTTTGTCGGGCTCATCTTTGTTTCCCCCATCACCTGTTTTAAATATGTGGTGATAAACATCAAAATTCAAATTCAAACTCAAACCCTAAAACATTTATTATTATACTGGGTTTGCAACCTATGTGACATATCTTACTACTAGTCTTAATTGAAAGTTCTCTCTCATAATTGTGAAGGATAATTAACTATAAGGGCTTGCACTTATAGGAAACTAGAACTCAGATCATAAAGTCCTCATAAAATGAGGGTGAATTCTCTGGGTTGTTCCTTATCTAAAACTCAATCTGTCTTTTGAAAATTTACCTCGGAACCTAAACTTGTTAAATTTCTCCTCGCCCACACAAATAAATCATAGAAAGAGCTAGCGCGAAGAGGCCGGGGTATGAAATTTTTGGAGCCCATAGATTTCTCGCGACTTCATTGAAGATTGGTTTCTCTTTTTATTTTTGGTTAGTTATACATAAACTACAAAAGCAACAAAGTTATTAAACTCCTAATAAATTCATTAAAATTACGGTTTTGAAATAATGCAGACTCTTTAGTAAACTTGGCTAAAGAAATCACATGCATGAATGTTGAGCCTCTATTAATTAGTGTTTACACTCGTTGAGTACTAGAGCCAACAATTTTATGTTCCCCGCACGTAAAGGCATCATCAAATCCAAGCGAACAAGATATAACTCATCAACCTCTCCAATAGTTTGTTCTTGAAAATCAATAAGAGGAACATCAAACAGTTATAAGAAAACGTAAATCCAGTACAACCTCAGAGTCATGATGGCATTGCTTGGAAATTAAAAAACAAGATAATTGGAGGCAACCTTTCATCGACTACTTCAAGAAAATCAAGCTCCTAATAGATAAATTGTTAGCTATATAAATTAGGAAGAGAGCATTGCGGTTTTTGCTTGTAAATAACACATTAACACGTTGTATTGAAGAGTCTTTTAACCAAATATGACTATGATGTTTAGGGATTGTTGACCTATACATGAATGCCAAATATATATATATATATCTCACTGAATGTCCTCCGCACGAGCTCTGCGCATCGCTCTCCACACAAAAGCCATTCAAATCCTGCATATCCCGCAGCTCGGACGTCCGACATCGTGCTTTGCATGAACTCCGCACATCGATGATGTGCTCTGCATGATCTATGCCTCGATCGAGCTTCTGCTTTTGTCGTTAAAATGAGAGATGAAACTCGTTTGCTTCTTCGGCATACAAGGGCTCTCCCAATAACTCGTCATGGTCAAAGTGACCCGATCTCTACCTCCTAGGTTGCAGCAGAATCCATGACACAGCCGAAGTCTTTAGCCACCGTGCCGATCAGAGCTTCCCACACCTGTCAACCTAAAGCCCTCAATCTACTTGATATGCCTATTCAAGCAAATCCTGAATCTCACAAACCGCACCTCCATCGACCTCGTCTCTCAACAGATCGGACTACAGCTGATCCCGGTTGAGCTCCTGCATCTCGATCCTGTCAACTAGCCTCAACCCGTCGAATCAATCGAGCTCCAGACTTCTGATTTTGAACCCCCGAACCTCCTTCCTCTCACTTGTTCGCACTCGATTGCCAATCTTCACTCTGTAGCCGACTTCCGCCCCATATTCTAACCTGTCGACTTGCTATAGCCCCGATAACTGCACTCGATCAAGCTGACAACCTGCCGCAAGCTCTTGATCGAACATCTTGATCTGTCGATTCCTTCAACCATCCGCACCTTGCCCGATCCTTACTCCTTTGTATTGATCTGACCTGTATTGGGCCCGGTCTAATCAGCCGAAGGCCCGATACATTATGAATCACATCTCTTCCCAATTCATTCCAAGACCGGCCTCCTTCGATCCAAAGCACGAAACATGCTGCCCTCACGACTTAGACCGCATTACTCGACACTTTTCCTTGTGTAGATCGCAAAGCTGCCGTAGCCTTCATTGCCTTACTCGATCCCTGTTTCTATGTTGACCCAAGCTCCTGTATACATCCCCTCATTTATTGTTATTATTTTAGTTAATTATTAATATAATTATTATTATTGTATTATAAAAAGGAAAATAAAGAAAAAAAAAAAGCAAAGAGAAAAAAAGAAGAAGAAAAAAAAAGGATATTTTTTTCAAATTTTCATGCCCTCGACACCGACAATGTCGCCAGCCCTTGGTCGCAAAGATATAATCTCCAAATCCTGTTCTGTGTCTTTTGCATATAGGGGTCGTCAAAAAACTGATTATTTATCTTTTATAGTTAGGAGAACAATATTATGCATTTATTTTCCCAATATTTGCTCTTTCTATTTTTCTATTTTTTTCTTCACATAGCCGGTCACTTCCCTCAATCTTTGGTCCATTAACTGGGCTATTTATTCCTATATAATTTGCATTTGGCTTTAAGAGTCTTGTTTCTTTTATGTTTCAACAGAACCATTTGTGCCAAAGAACCTATATGCAACAAATTACAGTATCTAATATGGACATCTAGAATCGCCCATCTTTTAAATGAAAAATGCAAAAACATATGGGGTGACCAAAAAAAAGTATTTTTTCTTTTTTCAAACAAATTTTCATTTTCTTTTTGGTGGTTGCTCAGGGTGATTAGATATGCAATACCTTAAGATTCTTATCACATTATGCACAGGTTCTTACAACATTTAAAAAAAATGATGTTGGACTTTTTTAAGTTTCAAGCTTAGTAATGACCATCTTAAGTATGACCTAAGTAAAATGTAAGATGTATGTGTGATAAACCTAACATGTTCGCAATTATTATATAAAATGGTTTGTGCCAATAGCACCTATTGAGCACAATGTTGTAGAAAACAAGTTTAGTTGATTTGACCATACTAAACGAAGAGAAAAGATGCACTTATAAGACCATCAATGAAACTAATGTTAAAGGCACCGGAAGTTCCTGGATAAAAAGTAATTTAACACAACATTGTGTCAAACTTGCATATGTTAAAGATAACAATGCATGCAACAACAACTAACAAAAGGATGGAGAAGAAGGATCTTAAAGCCAACCCCAAATTGTAGGGGTACTACTATTATTATGATGATTATCTCTGTCTACACATGGTTACATGAACTTTATGTACATGTAGTTATTCAATCACAGTATATGTCTGTTTGAACTTTTGTTGAATTGTAATATCAGATTTTCAAGGGAAAGGCTGCCTTACCTTTTCTCAATCAATAAAATCAACTGTTTTTCCTCTTAAAATGATGCACTGAATTCATATTAGTATATCAAAACTCTGGATATTAGTGGACAAAGTCTTATGTGAAACTAATTCAAAATTGTGGTGAGAATCCATCAGAACTATTTTGAATCATCTTACAGGAAGAACTTCAAATGGCATTGTTTATGACTCCAACTGGAGAGAATCTCTTCCTTGACCGAGTAAGTAGTTAAGTGAATATTCATTTCTTTTATTTCATATATTATCAACAAAGTAGTATATGACTGAATTTTGAAATTCTAGCAATGATCTATCATGAAATGTCTGTCAACAGTGTTGATTCAATTGCAAGTTCATGTGAAGTAGTAGTACGGGTGAGGGTCTAGTATATACTAATGTGAATAAAAATTAGATACACACAAAAAATTACAATCCACATATTTGCAACTCTTAAATTTGGCAAAAAATAGTCACAGTAAATGTGGGAATATCAAACGTACTTTTTCATTCCGACAACAAATGTAATAGTTGTCAAATTATGAAATTTAATTAAAAATAGTGAAGAATGTAAAATTTTAGCAATGTTCAAGATTCATATTACGGAAAGAAATTTAATACATCACATTTGACAAAGCTACAATCACCCACAAACCATTTGTTAAAAAATTAAATAGAAATACCAACGATATAAATCACCAAACAAAAGATTCAAATCTCACATCGATGTTGACATCGATTTTGCCCAGATTTGGGCCCGAACAGTTGACTTGGTCAAATTGACCAAGCCAGACCCTATGGCCCTCCCCGTTGAGTTCAGTGGGTCGAGTCGAGTCTGTCGAGCCCGAGCTTGGACCCTGGGTCAACCCGGTTGACCAAGTCAACCAGGGTTGACCAATTTGGACCTTTTAAGCCTAAAATCAATTTTAAATTTATTTTCATGGTTTCTTGTGCTCGAGCCCCACCCCCTTGACTCCCTTGACTTGTTTGACCAAGTCAATTGTTGACTTGGTCAAACCAAGTCTTAAATAGGTGAAAATCATCTATTTAGAGCCCATTAAAGCCTCATTTAATGCCTTAATCAATTCCAAACGTTTTGGAATTCAAATCCACGACCTAATCACCGATATTTCCCTCCAAATCATATCATGATCGAATCTAGGCCGTTTAAGATAGAGGAGGAGCCTTAAATAGCCAAAAATTAGGTTTTGGAAAGGGGCTTTTTGATCTTGTTCTCTCTCCAAGCCCCCAAAACCCTCTAATATTTCGTGTGAGCATTCTTGGAGAGTTTTCCCATCTTCCCCAACCAAGATCCGACGAGCTCGAGTCGCCGGCGGCGAGAACTCCGGCGAAACCAAGCCCCACGTCCCTTCCGGGCTGATTTCCGCTCGATCCGAGGAGAACCAGGGTTCGACGTCAACTGGAGAAATATT